AGAAGCCCAGACCTCTCCCCAGCCACCTCCTCTAGCTTATCCGCGGGCACACCAAGGCGTCCCCAGGCCAGCCGAGAGATATAATCTCTCCAGCATGTCCTGGGTCTTCCCTGGGGCCTCCTCCTGGTGGGACATGCCAGGAACACCTCGCCCAGGAGGCGCCCAGGAGTGATCCTTTTCAGATGCCTGAACCACCTCAGCTGGCTCCTTTCGATGTGGAGGAGCAGCAGCTCTACTCTGAGCCCCTCCTGGATGGCTGAACTTCTCACCCTTCTTTCGGTCACTACCCACAGCTCGTGGCCATAGTTGAGGGTAGGGACGTAGATCGACTGGTAAATTGAGAGCTTCACTTTTACACTCAGCTCTCTCTGAGAGCATCACTGCGGCCGCAGCACGCGTCTGTCGATCTCCGGCTCCATTCTCCCATCACCCGCAAACAAGACCCCAAGATACTTGATCTCCTCCACTTGGACTCTCCGTGAATCGCTATCTTATTGTGGTGGAGGGGTTTGTGTGTCCCAGGGATCCCAGGGACTATGTTGACGGGGGGGGGTCCAGGTGAGCTCCAGTGTTTTTCCTATGCCCTCCCTGTGTTCCCTCCCAGTATCCGCCCTGGGGCAGAGCCCTCATCATGCCACCTGCTCTGCTCACCTGTTCCTGGTCCTCAAGTAATCCACGGAGGTTATTTAAGATCAGCATCCTCAGCTCTTTTTTGCCAGTTATTCAGCTAACTGCACTTGCCACGTCTCCCCATCATTCTGCTAGCATGCATCTCAGGAACCTCTGGATGTTGATCTCCACGGCAAGGCACACGTTCTGTCGCCACACAGTTCACCACTCTGGTTTGCATCATTTGCCACTTCCACCTACCTGTCTTCCTGCCACCGTCTTTTGTTGATCAATGGAAAAACAGGGTTGGCGTCAACCTAATCACTCACCACTCTAGGAGCTCACCTAGCCATCCAGTTCTCTCAGAGCTGTTTACGCTCCACCTGCCAATTCTGCCTCTTTTGCCTTCATCCCATGAATCCCTCCTTTGTTTTGCCATTAATTCCCATGTTTAAGTCAATAAATTAGTTGAAACCTTATTGTTGTCTCCCGTATTTGAATATGCTTTTTGGTCCTAGTTTTCGCATTAGCCCCCAGATTCCCATGATAGACCCATAAAAACTAAAAAGACAATAACAAAAAATCTTAGAGTACATAAAAAAATTCTATATAATTTTATTTAATTTTGATTTCATTTAATTTGACAATTTGTTGGTAAAGGTGTGACTTGCATTTTTATGGCAGGTATTTTTGGCCTAAGTGTAAACCATGCTCCTTGACATGTAGCACTGGGTTGGCTCTTTGTACCCCAGAGTCCGGGTACAAAAGTCAATTAAATTCAGTTTTGTTTATATAGTGTAATCACCTCAAGGTGCTTTATATTGCAAGGTGTGTGTGTGTTTGCGTAATTTCAAACTGTTATTTAAACTGCCTGCAAACCTGAGCGTATGTTTTTTCTTCTATTCTCACTCCGACTACGTGAAATGGCTTGCCTGCATTTGTATAGCGCTTTTCTAGTCCTTAAGGACCCCCAAAGCGCTTTACACTACATTCAGTCATTCACACACTGGCGATGGCAAGCTACATTGTAGCCACAGCTGCCCTGGGGCGCACTGACAGAGGCGAGGTGAAAACCTACTTCTCCTCCTCTTACTTCAAGAATAAATGTGTTAATCATTCTGATGGAAAATATTAACTGATCTCAATCAGAAAATTTGATTCAGTGGTGAAAGTCTGTATTGTGGTTACGAATTTTCAACGAGCCAATTTTCAAATATAAATTTTAAACTCTTTTAAAAATGTTTGTCTTTTTGTTTTGTTTTTTAAGTGGCAGGTATTTCAAATTCAACATTTCTATCAGCTTAACAAAGATCAACAAACAGACAAACTACGTGCAGTTTGTTACTCAGTGTGTTGCTAGCTAAAGGTCCAGATGCTGTATTTCACAGGAAGAGAAAAGAGTGTCAGATAAATTCACTAAGAGATGGACAAAAAAACAGGACTTGAGAGGAAGAATAAAGATTAGATTTAAAGGTAAAATGCTCAGTGACAAAAGCTTACATGTGATATAATTTCAATCAATTGTTCGGATATTCCTTGGGAAAAAAATGGTGTATTAACTTTGTGTTATGCAATGTCGCATGAAAATACTTAGTAGTTTGTATGGGATGAAAAGGTTTGCTTGTCGCACTGTGGTGACCTTATTGTAAAGCACTGCACTGGATTGGTGTGCAGTGGCTGTGGTGCCTGTGGTCAGTGTTGGTTTACATCAAGTTTAGGAGACTAATTTGCATTTAAAATGATGGTTAAATTAATTAACTGAAATCCACCTTTATACCAATTGTATACAGTCTAGTATAAAGACAACATAGAGTTTAATGTCAGTGTAGAGCAGGGGTGGGGAACTCCAAGCCTCAAGGGCCGGTGTCTTGCAGGTTTTAGATCTGTCCTTGATCCAACGCAGACGATTTTAATGGCTAAATTACCTCCTCAACATGTCTTGATGTTCTCCAGAGGCCTGGTGATGAACGAATCATTTGATTCAGGTGTGTTGACCTGGGGTGATATCTAAAACCTGCAGGACACCCGCTTTTGAGGCTTGGAGTTCCCCCACCTATCAGTTCCCACTGTAACCCTTCACTATACTCATTTTACTTTTTGATTGTGGAGGCAAAACCCCCCTCTACAATGTAGGCAGAAACAGAAAACTGATTCAAACTGAGCGCATCATTAGAATTAGAATTTACATTCACATATTTGTATCATGTACTAATATTATTTTATCATTATACTAACATAGCACAAGGTTCAGTTACCTTTGTACAAAACTGGTTATTGTCCTTCAAGGAACTCTGAATACATTTCTTACTCTGAATACATTTCAGAGCCTGTTGTAGATGTGGAAACTACAGTTAGCTGTACTTATACTTAAGTAAAGAAAGTCTATCATTTTGCCACCTCTTATAAAGTGTGTTTATAATTAATTAGACCAGGGTTTTCATGGTGTATTTTATGACTGTATTATGTCTTTACCTTGTAAAGCACTTTGTGACATATGTCTGTGAAAGGTGCTATATAAATAAAGTTTACTTACTTACTTTCTGCCAAATGATGGCGATGTTTGTGGTGAAAGTCAGTATTGTTTTTTACCAACTGTTCTGAAGATGTAGCAGGACGTGTCATTTGCAGGCCTGGCCACAAGAGGGTGGTCACAAACTTGGCTTAGTGCAGACAAACCAGTTATAACCAGTTCAGCCATATACTTCTTCTGGGTTAGGGTTAGGTTGATCAGGTTTAATGCTTATGTCCATGTGTGTTCGCCGAGGGAGCTGTAAGGTACAATCCTACAACCACAGAATATGTTAGTGTGCCTCAGTGAATTACACTTTTCCCACTCAAGTCCTGTGGAGTCATCTGAATAGGAAGAACACGATCCAGGCAGTCAACACCTATGCCGCACCATGGCATTTACTACTGTCAGATAATGGAAGTGGCTGATATTGAAAAATACTACAAATTGCTGGATAAAGCTGGACTGAAAGACAACACAGATGTACTAAGCTGGAAACACAGAAACAAGCTCTAAGCACAAGATCCATAGAAGCTGGGCTCTTTCATACCAGGCAAGACCCCAGGTGCAGACTGGAGTGGGGAATTACTTACACACACACACACACACACTTATTTCTCACTAATTCCCTAGATCTAGATTACTAGACTAGTAATCTGGCATACTGGGTGCCTGATGGACTGACACACGTGTGGGCTGATGGGTATATATATAATGTTTTAAATATAATTTGATACAGGGGCAGCATGGTGGCACGGTAATTAGCACTGTTGCCTCACAGCCGGAGTTCAATTCCCCCATCAGGCCAGGGTCTTTCTGTGTGGAGTTTGGATGTTCTCACTGTGTTTGTGTGGCTTCTCCCAGGTACTCCCACAGTCCAAAGACATGCAGTTAGTGTGGATAGGTTATTTGGAAACACTAAATTGCCCACAGGTGTGAATGTGGTAGTGAATGTGAGTGCGACTGGTTGTCTCCTGTTTATATGTTAGCTCTGCGACAGACTGGCAACCTGTCCAGGGTGTACCCTGCCTCTTGCCCTAAGACAGCTGGGATAGGCTCCAGCGCCCCCCACGGCCCTAAAAAGGATAAGTGGAAGTGAATGGATGGATAATTTTATATAATTATGTAGGCTATGTGCCAGCTTGAAGGGCTGTTGTGCACCAGCACTGACAGCAACCCGTTCTTTACTTTTCATTAGTAATGCTGAATTGCCCAACCAAATCACTTAAAGCAACCAGCCCCATCCCTACCGTTCTTTTCACAGAGAGAAAAAAATAAAGTAAAAATAGATACAGCAAAGTCCTCACTGCTGGTAGCACCAACTATAGAGAAGTGCAGGATAAGGGACATCAGAAAACAACCCACAATCACAGGTGCATATTAGATTTATCCAAGTAGTAGCAGTAAAAGGAACTTTGCACCACCTTAAGGTAAGGGTAAATTTAGTTTTATTTCCAAAATATATATAAGTTCAGTGGTTCTTCCTATTACAAAAATATAAATGACAATAAAATCAGTTTTGCAAAGCTGCTTTTCTAATAACTGAAAGAAAACACAACATAAAGTACCTACCTAACTGTTAATGAAAAGTATTTATTTTTTCCTAGCAAACATTTGGAATTTCTTTATTAGTACTGCTAACTTAACAGGTCAGGCTTAGTGGATTACAGATAGATGAAAAACATTAAGAATAATGTACAAACCTTCATTTTTATTTTAAGGTTTTGATTAAAAGCATTTGCTAAAACCAAAAAAGTAAATAAGCACAAAAGGGTATTAGCGCAAGTATACTGACACACATGGCCTACATATTACACAAGGGAATACTTACTTCTGAATAGTTTTCTAATATCTACGAAATAATGTAGCATTAGAATAAAACCTACATGTAGTATGCAGAGGCTGGGTACAGCAAATAGGGACTGAGTTTACGATCTTCTGATGGAAAGGTGCTGTTCTCATGAGCCTGACGACGGTAGTACCTGCGGAGAGCAGGGCTGCCAGGGTGGCATTGTCTCACATGGAGGAAGTACTCATCAGGCCGGCTTGATGTATAACCACAATCCTCACACACAAAGATCTTGGAGCGTCTCTGGCGGTAAGCATACTGCTGATGTACACCATGAATCTTTCTCATATGAGACTCCAGAGAGCAACGCTGTGTGAAAGCTTTCTCACACAGCTCACACTTGTAGGGACGGATACCTGTAGCAGTGAGAGACAAAAGACAGTTTCTCCTTTAAGCTTTCCACCAAGGCTGACATTGTCAGAGAGCTCATGTAATGACTGAACGCAGATTTTCCATTTATTTAAATTTTTTGTTGTTGATTTCCATTAATGCCAGTCACTTTAAAGTTACTGTAAATCCCACAAAGGGATTGCAGATTTCAACCAATTGTAAAAAGCTTGGAAAGAAAGTGACTGGACTCCTTAAAGTTTTTTTTAAGACGTTTCATCTGTCATCCACAAAGCTTCTTTAGGTTTAAAACCAAATGATGGAGACTCCCAGGTATTTAAACCCTAGCGCAGGGGTGGGGAACCCAAGGCCTCAACGGCTGGGGTCCTGCAGGTTTTAGATGTGTCCTTGAACCAACACAGCTAATTTAAATGGATGAGAGGTGAACGGTCTTTAAAAATCTTGAAGATGTCCAGTCACTTTTCTTTCCAAGCTCCTTAGATTATCATGAACTGGATGACTAAGAACCTACATTTCAATCAAGTGCAACTAATGATACACAGCAAACCCATTAATCCCTTAATTATATATTATTATATTATCAGTAACATATATAATAAAATGTACTCCCTTGTAATAAAATTGATTGTGATTCTTTTAATTTGATAAAGATTAGTGGATTCAACAAAATACATTTAGAACATTCCTAACCTGTGTGTGTTCGCATATGTCTCTTTAGGTCGAAGGTATCATTGAATCCTTTGCCACAGAACCGACAAGGATGCCTCTTCACCAAGCTGTGGCACTTCAAGTGGCGGGTCAACATGCGTTGTAGAGGGAAGATCTTGTGGCACACTGAGCAAACAAAGTCACCTGAGACAGGGGAAGTACGGGGACGTGGCTGATGGGAAGAGAACTACTGAATAAATATGACAAAACTTCACTGTAACAATCATCTTTTCTCTGCTCTGTTTAGCATACAAGTAACAAACAGGATTACAAATTGCTAATACATGGTACAGTGTACCAAGACACCAGTACACCTTCCATGCAAATAGTTCCTTTATAAGCCATTAAATCATAAGAGATATGTACAATGCAATCAACAGACCTATATGAATAATGAATTTCTTGGCCACTAAAGGGAGCACAAATGTCAGTCTACTGAACTCAAACTTGATTGCACAGAAGACCAGTGCACAGAAGACCAGTGAATAAGAAATGGATAGTTTTACAATTTGATTTGCATAATATGGCACCTTTTTCTTGATAGATTATGTTCACAGTATGAGCATCTATGAAAGCAGATGAAATTGCCAGCCATGTGTCCGTGTTCAGTAGTTAGGGAGTACTGAGAATAGCTCTAGTAAAAATCACAAAGTCAGCTGTTCTATTAATTGTCACAAATGCTTAACAGATTTTCTGTTAACAAAATAAATGGGAAGTTCAAAAGGGTCCTGTGTTTGAGTTTCTTTCCCCCTTTTTTAGTGGTTATGACCTCATAGGGCAGTATTTTTCTCACATGTAAAGTAGTTCTGTCCCTCTCCAACATATCTGCCTATGTGTATATTCCTGGACTTACCTACTGCCTTAGAGTTGTATGAAAAATATGATTTTTAATCTTAATAACTAATTTAAAGAACTTGAAATAAATGGTTGTTTTTTAGTTAAATGGAAAATGTATCAGATGTGTTACATAAACTTGGAGCATTCCACATTGTAGGTCAAATAATGAGCACATCTAAAATGACCTGAAAGTCCTCTACCAGAGGCCTGAGAGCTTGAGGATCCTGCACAGTATCTTATCTATTTGCATGATTGGACAGGGACCTCAAATGTCATTCCTTGAATCTGCTGGAGCCACTTGCCCAGTTTGAGGGTCACCACTCCGATTACCACTGTTGCCTATATATATATGGAAAATGAATTCTGCTGTCTACCAAAACATCCTGGAGGAGAATGTCTGGTCATCTGTTCATGACCTCAAGCTGAAGCCCTCTTAGGTTCCTGACCTGAGATTCTGTGGCATGACCTTAATAAGGTGGTTCATGCTCAAAAACCCTCTAATAGACTGGTTTCCAAACTTTTTTTGCTAGGCCCCCCTTTGCTTTACAAGAAAAATGTTCGCGCCCCCCACCATGTGCCTTTTTCAGGTCATGCTGTGTGCCACGTTATTGTTTACATGAGATGAATTGCAGAATTGCTGATAGAGACAAAATACTGTTACTGTTAATCTTACTATCTTCAGGTTTTACACGCTTACATATACACATGTAGTTACTGTCCCTCCATTTAGAAAGGCAGAGGCATCATGGTGTAATTATTTTATGTGTAGTTGTTTTTTTCCTGTGTAATAATATTCAACATTGCTATTAATACATTTTTCAAAAAATGCCTCTCTGTGCAAAATGGGTTCAAAACATAAACAACTGTGGAATCCTGTTTGTCTGTGGTATGGAGAGGGGGAACAAATTGTGGCAGGATCAGCCTGATGTTATTTGTATCTCACTGTAACTTTACTGTATAAAGAACTAACATCTCCAAAATGTCAGGAGTAGTTAGTCATTACAAGAAGTGTTTGTGAACTAAAAATCAAGAATGTGGGATTCTGTTTGTCTGTGATTTGGAGAGCCCAGCGCATGATCTCAACATAGGGAAAACCAAGGCAGGGTAGACCTACCTTGGCACTTGTGCAGGTGAAGCCAAAAGGAAGATATGCTTCACCATATTTTCTAGTCTTTGACTTGGAAGGAAATTGGTTTGGAAACATATTTGGCGATGCTTCATATCCTGCTTTGCGTTTGTGTGTATATCCAAGTGTTTTCTCATACTAGGTTTTCTGATTGTTGGGGTTATATTATATATTGCCTTGAGATAACTATTATGAACTCAATCAATCAAAAAAAATGTAGCTATAGTTGTATTGAACTGAACTGATTTCCCAAGCACACTGCATCTACTCACCCCGCAACATACAAAGTTGTGATGAAAGCCACATATATATCAAGTGGAAGAGAAAAAAGTTACCCAGAGAATGTAATATAGAATATTACCCTTTCCCTGATTGCTGATTGAATTCACTGCCATCTCATGCTTTTGAACTGTAAGTTACAACAAACACCTCTGTTAACTCTGTGTCTTACATCACAATAAATGTGAGTCTGATGATGCATATATTCCAAAGGCAGTCGTCTGTGGTCCTGCCTAAGGTCATGTCCTAAGAATCCTTGCCCAAATTTCTAACCTCCTACTAGTCCACCACTAGTCCAACAGTCACATGATGCTAATAACTATGCACTAAACACTGGGTTAGTTGTTCACATTAAAGGAGTGATATTGTATTTTGGCAAGAAAACCTTTCTCACCTTTGCTCTGCTGACCAGTGCCATTGTACTGGGATGGTAGGAGCCCCGGAGCATCACAGTAGACCAGTCCGGCCTGGTATCAGCTCTTGGTCCTCCCAGTCCTGTTAAAGGTACTGGCACTATAATTCCTCTTGTTGCATCACGTCCTGAGGTGATTACTGGCTGAGGCATGGTGGCAGGGTCTTGGGTGCCAGGACTGCAGGATATCTGTTTTTCAATATTTTCACTCACTATGTAGATAGATAGATAGATAGATTACATGACTAAATTATGACGTTGAAGTAAATTACTGTGATACAGACTAATTGTTACGGCTTTAACATTTTGACAGCAGAAATTAAACTTGAAACCACTTGAAATTCATACCTTGTGGATTTTCTTCTTTCCACTCATGTTGTTCTGATTCTTTCCACTGCCATGCTCCACATGGCCCACGTTTCTTTTTCACAAGGAAAGACCTTGGCATCCTTTAAATCTGTCACTTCTTGGTTTTCTTCTATTTCCTGACCTGTCTCTTATCTAAACGTTGCCCCCTGATCCTGTCACAGTGCTAAGAGATTTAATTTGCTAATGTCCAGTGTTCTGCTCTTACAAGTGCAACCATCTCCTTTGACAGTCAGCAAGTAGAGTGTCCTAGTAAAATCACAGCACTCATTTTCATAACACTCTCTGGAAAGGATGGTGAATGTTTTAGCTCTGGTAAAGGATGGGCGGTTGGAGCGTCACTCTTAGCAGGAGTACACCTGTGCTGATTGTGCGTGTGTGCCATTTTAACTGGTCCTCCACCAGTTTTGCATGTCAGGTAGTGAGAATCCGGGGAGCTTCACATTCAAGTGGCCCTTGGCATGCAAATTTTTGGATCTGGACCAAGCCCTGGCCCCAGACAAAGGGCATGGCCTAAGTAACAGGAGCAAGCACAGTGGAGCCACAGCCTTAACTGCTAGGTAAATCAGCCCTTTCTCTTTTTTATGGCTTTTCTGTTGCAGTTGTTTGAAGGAATTAAAGAGCTTCTTTGAACACATACAAAGGACATTCATACTCAATAAAAAAGATGTCAAGCACTTGCAGTCTATTGACTGAATTGTTTACATAATTGCATATATGATGGCACCTTTTGTGTTGTCCCCTGGTACTTGCACAGTGAATGTAGGAATAATTTACACCCTCTGTAGCACTGATCAGAAAAGCATTATATGGAAATATATGGCAGTGAAAAAAGTATCCAGTATCCAGAAGTCTGTTAGATACTGGATAGGCAACATGAACATATAGAAAAGATTTTCCCTCAGTCTTGTGAGAACTGTAACAACAATTAATTTTGCTGATTTACAATCCCCCTTTGCTGCAGATAAACAAATGGACCCAAATTATGCCAGAACCACTAGAAGGTAAAGAAGCAAACTGCCCATTCTTGTCCAATTGTCTGCAGTTGGTGTATGTTTAACAGGAAAATGAACTGCATGTATCTTATTTCACTGGGCGTGCATAACAAATTCAAACATTCTGAGTGTAAGTCAGAGTCTAAACCTCAACATGCAAATCTCAGTAGAGGTCACTCCAAGACCATCAGGAGGATCATGTAGTATAAACTGTACAGTAGTACAAACACAGATCTGCTCTACCTATCTGCTACATTTATGTGCTGTAAGTCCCATATTTTAACTGCTTACTAAGCATTTATATTGTAGATATTGGTCATTGAATATGAGGGTTCAGAAAGTGATGAATGTAATGCAAATCTGGAAAACATTTGTTAATAGCTACATAAAACACAACTGCAGAGTCTGAATTTATTTCACTTTATAAAGGAGGATAAGCATATATTGTCCTACTTTACTCAAGATATTAATTTGTGTAAGTAAATATCTTCAGACAGACTAATTGAATTCAGATTTTGATAATAAATCTTTTGCTGTGTAATGTTAGTGTTTGTATTGTTAGTGTATTGTTGTATTGTTAGTGTTTCCTAAATGTGCTTTACGGCTGTTGACTATACTGTGAGGTTCCCTTCTGAAGCTGCACTCTAACTGTATGCAAAGCACATGCCTGTGTGCAGCAGCATGAAAATTAAATGGTAACAAGGCAGCTCCACATTATTTTGCAGTAAACAAAAAACTGTCCGTTTGAATAATATCTAATACCTATCACTCTGTCTACTCACTGACGTGTCAGTATAGTACAGAGTGAAAGAAAAAGCCACAGATTAAGATATTCAAACACAGCCTTCCTCAGAGGATAGTCACTGTTGCAAGTTTTGACAAATGCATATTAAACTTGAAAACATTTGAAGATTAAAAAAAGGTAACCTTCATGTCAGTAACAAGAGGAGACTTGATAGCTTTCTTTCTTTCTTTACATTTAGGTGAACGGCTTGTCTGAACTTGAACATGAATGTAAAAGAGACTGAGTTTAGCTGTTCATGTGTGTCGTGGTTAGCCACGCCCTTGTTTTCTTTTTCAGTTGGATGTAAAAGTGTGCTTGTGCATTTGTCTGTTGATTGATAGCAACTAATCTTTAGTAACTGAAACCACAATTTAGAGTTGAGAACATTTTATCAGCTGACATTAATGCATTGTATGAGGTACAAGGCTGCATAATTACTTCCCCAGGCTTTATATTACCTTTCACTGTATATGTATTGTGTCACAAGAGCTTTTTTAGTTTAGCCATTCAGTTAGTTTTGGACAGTTTCTCATATACTGCTGCATATTGTATATTCTCGATCTCGATCACTCTCTCTCTCTCTCTCTCTCTCGATCACTCTCTCTCTCTCGGTCACTCTCTCTCTCAATCACTCTCTCTCTCTCTCGATCACTCTCTCTCTCTCTCTCTCTCGATCACTCTCTCTCTCAATCACTCTAACAAACATATCGATTCAAACTGACTAACTGAGCTACAGTTCATTTGTCATTTGTTTGTCACTGTGAAATTTATATTTGACAACAATTTCATTCATTTGCAAATTTTTTAAATGTAAAAAAAAAGCTGTTACAATGTTTAAAAATCATACATTGTCTTTTCTGGTTATGTTATGACATCTTACCTTAAGAAAATGAAACATGCATTCCTCTTTAATCAAAATTTGAGCCAAATCACAAATATCGATCCATATGATTATGTCAAGGCCTAGCGCTGTCTAGTCTTCCTGCTTGAGACTCTTTCATGGATGTCTGCCACAATGATGGTCCCTGGATCTTGTTCAAGGAGGTTATTGTGGTCTGCTCTTAGATCCACTAACCACTGAGCAATGTTTCATCCTTCTCCCATATTCTCTTCCAGTGTTGCTCTGTCTCCAGCCTTGGCAGGGCTGTTCTCATATTGTTCCTCTGGAACTGAGCCCCTTTGGATGGCTTTGGATTTTCCCTGGCTTCTATCTCTGTGGTATACCTCTTCAAGTGGTTAGCCAAGGATATGAGTGTTTGCTTGGCAGTTTCTTTTTGCAATTTCTCTGTCCTGGAACAATCTTTCTGAACACCTGAGATCAGCTAAAACTGAATAAATACACCTAAATATAGTTATACATCCGAGTAAATTATTTTCTGCTAACCTCTTCATATGTCTTCTCTCTGTTAGTATCATATTTTCACTCTTAATATGTTCATTTTACCAGAGTTCACAGGGATACTCTGTAACCCTGAGTGTTTGCGTTTTTGAGTGTATGCACTCTTTAATAGCGCTAAAAAGCTGAATCCATTTTTGACCCAGCACAGGGTTTAAAATGCTATTATTTGTAATAGCTTATCAATAAAGCAAGTCTAAAACCTCTTTTAACATTTTTTTATTTTAATTTCTAGTGGATTGCAGAGACATTATAAGAATGAGGAACTGCAAAGTGATCATGAAAAGTAAGAGGAAATGAACAACATTCAAATACGACTAGAGATGGCTATTAAAGGAACAAAGCTTGTCACTGACGAGGTGTTGGTTTCATACATATGTATGTGCATACAAATGCATAACTATTTAAAGTCAACACACATGCGAACATGCTAAAACACTGAAGCTGTGCGAATACATATTTAAAAGCAAACTTCAATATTTCAGTAGATGAGGGTTGAAAGTTTGGCAAAGTGCTGTACAAAGCACCAAAACACAAACAACAACAACACTAATGATAATAGTTAATAGAAGGTAAGAATACACCACTCTTATTCTGCAACAAGAGGATAATAAAGCAAGATCTGAAGCAGTCAGAATTGTTGTAATGAAGACTGAGGGATTACTCATTAGATTTTAATTTGTAGGTTGAAGCCTAAACTTGTTGCTGTTACTTTACTATGACTTTTATTTTTACTACCTACCTATAATTACAATGAATACAAACATAACAGTATTGCACAAACGTAATTACAGAAATCTTTATTAAACCACACATGTGCTCTTTATCTGAAATAGTAATAATAATTATGTCAAGAGGACTCGCCCTAATTAAAAACAACAGCTTGATAGAAAAGAAAAAGCAGACAGAAATCAGAGCTATACCGCAGGGAGACAGAAAATGGGGGAGGTGTGAAAATATGAATTTGAAAGAGCGAGTGGAGACGAGAACAGGAAGAAAGAAAAAAACTGTCTAGGAAATGACAATACAAAGGCAGAAGTGCAAATGCTTGCTGCTAAAAAAGTCACAGAGCGAGAGAGCAACTCAGATGTGCAATCAGGGATGACAGTAAGTTCTAAAGACGCGATTCATTTTGAAGTGAAGAAATATTGTTAAAAAACAAGTGAAGCGCTGGATATTGACCAAAGCTGAAATATGGGGTGAGTCATTTTCTTACATTAGTTATATTAATCAATTTTTTTTAAACTGAGGAAAGAAACATATGTTCATTCCAATTTTGAATGACTCGTGAAAGAATGTGTAAAACAACACCGACTCTCTTAGTGCTCTCTATATTTTACCGAAAAGATATTTCGTTCTGACTACATTTCCTGTTTTCTGCAAGTGTCTGAAGCTTATAACAGGTGCTTCAATTATTAGAGTTATTGCACATAGACTAAAAATGTATCTGCATTTACTTTTTTCTGATAATGTTATTTAATCCAAGAAAGCATTCTGGGGAACCAAAACTTTTTGAGAACTTGGTGCATATGACAGGTGAAATACAGTCCATATTAGGCATTGTACTGATCACAGGAAGTGGTCAAAACATGAAAACCTTTGTGACAGGAAGTAAAGCTTTCCCACAGGCTACAGACGTTGCAAGTAGCAGACTGAAAATAAGTCAGTGTCATAATGACTTGTAGAGACATGCCGTCTTTTTATTATTTCATTAATTTTTGCATACAAACATTCAAACCACACAGGATAAATACATAAAGATATAAATGTATAATTGTTTTAATGAAATAATCATCAAAAATACAAACACATATTTGCCCCATTACTTTACAGTGTACAAATTTAGGGTTCTGAACCTCTGTAAAGCTATGAAGCATTACTTACTTTTCAAATGTGTTAAACAGATT